AACAACAACAACAACATATAAGAATGTATAAACACAAGGTACACAAATGAAACACATTTATGAATGATTGTATAAAACAAAATACATATACTAATAAAAATGTATATGAATGCTTATGTTAAAACCAATACAAATTTTAAGGATTAAGGAAGATGGATTAATGGAAACAAGAGTAAAAGGGCAGAAATGAAAACAGTGTTGTTACATTTTTTATAATCAATGTTATAAACAGAAAATATATAAATGATTACATAACAAGCCAATTTGCTCTGTAAACTTCAATTCAAATCACAAAAGAAAAAAGAATTCTATGAGTGATATACATAGTGGTATACAGAAGTATAAGCAGTATATGTTGCACTTTAAGCAGTTAATTTTTTTGCCTCTAAAATTATATTTCTGGAATAACCTTTTTTAAAATTTTTAACTAGAGCTACACATTTAAATGGTGTCTTTTAAATCTTTTTGGGGAAATTATGAATATATTTTTTATTATTTTAGCTACTGAACAGGTGGTGAGAGTTAATATCTGAAAGGGACTACTGAATTCATTATCTTGTCACCTGGAAAGAAGACATGCATTGATACGAGACTTGGTTTGCCTTTTGATGAAAATGGCAATTCCCACACCACATTCTTACCCCCAGTTGCTTTGAGCTTGATGGTCATGAGTTCTTCAGAGACTTTGCCCTTTTTGATGGCTTGTGCATTTAGAGGACATCCAGATAAGCTGCAGAAATAGAAATTATACTGATATGGGAAATGCACATTATTTCCTAATGTTGTTTGTTTGTTTTGAATTTCACTTTCTACTATTTAATTTTTTTCAGGCTTACTAATTGCATTATAATTTTTTTCGAGAAGTGCCAATACCAATTCAATCCAAAGCAGAATTCTCAAAATTAAATTAAAATAAAATTAGTAAGTCAGAATAGAAATAGTTAATGCCTCTGAAAACTCAGTGCAAGGTCTCCTATGGATTGGCTTTGACTCAGCGGAACAACTAAAATTTTGCATCTAGAAGCACTTTTATTTACTAGTCCTTATACTCTAACCTGAAATTATACATGTTATTATGAATAAAAACTGTTCTAAATTTATCAAAATTCCATGTACATTGGCGTCTATCTTCCTATTTTATACAAACAGTAATATCTCGCATCTATTACATGATGACTCAAATTAATGTAAGCTAAACTTAATATCTCTAGCATAATCCTTATTTCTGGTTAAATTCACTGTTGTGGAATACAAAAGTTTCCAATTTATTCTTGGACTTTTAAAATATTATTCCTCATTTTAATGATCTCTTCTCTGAAAGAGGAAAGGACCTGCCACAAATCTTCAGATATCATCATCTTCTCTCAGTCTCTTTTTCTGTAGTAATGTGGGCAACCCTTTCTTAAAACCCTTTAGCAGTAACTGTTTCCTTAAACATAATCTCCTTAATTTAAATGGCAACAATCTGCTAATGGTAACATTCAACAAAACTTGTTTTCCATAGCATATTATTATGTGATTTTGTTATTGTAAATAGCCATTATTTTTTGGATTTTAGTTGCAGTTTTGTAGTTGCAACTTCAATTATCACAACCATTTAAAGTTTTGTGAGTTTGGTTTTTTTTTGGCAGAAATTTAGTTTCTACGCATATATTAAATAATCACTTCAGCTTGAAGATATGGCTGTTTGACAAAGTGAAGAAAATAATTCCTGGAACAAAATGCTCAATTCACAAAATGAATACATGTGGTAAGAATACTAGAGTATCCTAAGTGTATAAAGTATAGGAAAAAAAGATACATATGTAATATTTAATGTTGTTTTGTTGTTAGGTGCCATCGAGTCCTGAATGACTCATAGCGACCCTATGAATGAAAGGCCTGAGCAATGTTCATAGAATTTCCGGAGGCAAGCCATTTTGGAAGTGGATGACACTCCTACATCTAAACTTGTTTTAATCGGGAAACTCCACCAAACACTGTCCACCATGGGTAACCATTATCACATTTGGTACATCAGTGTCACAGTGTTTAGCATCACAGCAACAACCATGAGTGACCTCTGTACAGCAATGCACAGACCAGTGCTATACCATCTAGAAGAATGTTTGACAGAAAAACAATTTGAACAGGACCAAAGGCCACAGATTAAAATCACCCACCTTAGTCTTGGTAGCATAACTTTCTAGGCCAATGTAGCTCTCTCTGTTGTCGTTGTTATTATTGTTAGGTGCCATCGAGTCGTGGATGACTCATAGCAATCCTATGAATGAAAGGGCTGAGCACTGTTCATAGAGTTTCTGGAGACAAGCCATTTTGGAAGTGGATGCCACTCCTGTTTCCAATATTTGATAAATTATAAAATATTTTGTGGGGAGTTCTGGTGGCCTAGTGCCAAGGAGCTGCAACTACAATCCCAGAGGCACATGGTTTGAATCCACTAGATGCTCTGCAGGGGAAGGAGGGACAATCTCCTCCTGTACCAGTCAGATCTGATTTGATGGTACACTCACACAAAAATAATAATAAAAAATATTTTGTATATAATGAAAATTACAAGCTGAACGTTGAACCGGATTCTTCTATTTCTGAAGTTTTACACTATGAACTGTGACCTTTATAAGCTTCATTACTTGAAAATTTTGCACAAATCTGCCTTATTTACTGCTATAGATGTGTCCTCCAAAAGTGGTCTAGAGGTAAGTAGCTGTGCTGCAGTCTCAAAGGCACATGGTCTGAATCCACCAACTGCTCCTTGGGAGAAGAATGGGCAATCTCCTCCCATGTGAGATTTACTGCCTCTGAAAACTTGCTCAAGGGTTAGCTATGGGTCAGTTCTCACTTTAGGGAACACAATAACAACATGGAATATTTAAAATGAACTGTGGTAAACTAATTTTTATTGTAATGGATAGTAATATTTCATTAATACCTCATAGATGTGTTCCCCTAAGTGATTTACTATGTAAATTATTGCTATGTACATTTGAGTCAATACCCATCCATAGCTGATTATTCAGTGGATTTTCAGTGACAGTTAATCCCATGGGAAGAAATTGTCCATCTTTTTCCTGCAGAGTAGCTCATGGAATTGAACCACTTACCTTTACATTGGCAGCTCAATGTCTTACTACTAAGCTACCAGAGCTCCCTTTATTCAGATATAGAGAAGACATTTCTAGGCATAACAGTGCTCCGAAAAAGTCAGTAACCGTGTGACTAAAGAGAGAATAGTTAAGCAAAGGAATGTTGGTTTTACCCAGGTTTCAAAATAAATATTAATTTTTAAAAAATCTGGAGAAAAAAGTATTCTAAAGGTCTCCCACCCTCCCTTTTAAAGAGGGTTATGTCAACGGCACTGGTTTGAAAAGTTATTACAGAGGGAGAAAAAGATGTTTTATGGACATATCCACTAAAGCATGTCAAGACAATTTAAAACTTAACCCATATATCTTCTTAAAGTACAATGGTAGGTGGTACAGTTTATACAGTAGGCATAAACTCTCCACAAAACTAATTTCCACAGTCAGAAGAAGTCCTCCAGTGGATTTTCAGAGGCTGCACATCACATGGGGAAGGACTGCACATCTTTCTCCTATAAAGTAGTGGGTGGATTTGTGGCTCGCTTCTGCATTGGCAGTGCAACTCTTTACCCACCAGATTGGAGAGAATGTAACGCATTTAAAAAAACAAATCAATGGCTGTTGAGTTGAAATCAACTCACAACTAACCCTCCAGGGGTTTTCAGAGGCTATAAATTGCACAGGAGGAAATTGCCCATCTTTCCTCCATGGTGGACTCAAACCTTGAGGCACAACATTTTTTAGCAGTGTAACTTTCTATGGCCTGAGTTCAGAGTTCACTAAAGGACACTGAATAACTTTGAACATTATAAAATATATAACATATGAAAGCCCAATATAAGACAGAACATATGATTCTTGTGAAAACCATTCTAACCATAAAGAATCGCTGCATATATGTTGTTGTTATGTGCCATCAAATCACCTGTGACTCATAGCAACTTTATAAACAATAGTTCTGACCCTTGTCCTATCTTGAGCCAGTTGCACCATCTCCAACACACCTGGTCTCATGACCCCAATTATTGTGTCAAACCATCTCATCCAGGGTCTTCCTCTCACGCGCTGACTGTCCACCCTTCCAAGCATGATGTCCTTCTCCAAGGAATGGTCTCTCTTGGTAACATGCCCAAAGTATGTGAGGTAGAGCTTCAAAATCCTTGCCTCCAAGTAGCAACTAGGTTTTACCCTATCTATGGCAGACCTGTTTGTTCTCTTGGCAGCCCATAGGTTCTATAACTTAAAGTTATTGATTCTTCTTTTATCATCCTTATTCATTGTTCAGCTCTCTGAAGCATAGCAAATAATTGTGAAGACCATAGCCTGGATTAGGTGCTCCTTAGTCTCTAGACTGGCACTGTTACTCTTCAGAACTCTGGAGAGGCCCCTGACAATAGATTTATCTAATGCAATATCTTTTTATTTCTGACTGCTGGTTCCAAGAGTGCTGATAGGAAACAATCTATGCCAAACATCTACTTCATGCCAAGCAATAAGGTAGGTGCATTTTATTTCATTGAACTCTGTACATAGTAAAGAAATAGGATTCTAATTTAAATAGAATATTGCAAATTAAATTTAGCCTCTTAATTTTCTTTTTTTTTTAGCCTCTTAATTTTCATGTAATAACAGAAACAACTAGTAAAGAACACTGATTTTTGAATAAGTAATTTCTCTCTTAATTTCTTTTCCAAGGAAATATTCCTTGGAATATTTAAGCCCATTTTTTCCAACTCGGAATCTTATTTTACTTACTATAAAATATTTAATAATATACACAATTGCTTTAAAGATTTGTGTACTTTTGGAAATCTGGACAATGAATAAAGATGACAATAGAAAATTTTATGCCTTTGAATTGTGATGTTGGAGGAGAGGACTGAATATGCTGTGGACAGTTAACAGTACAAACAGATATGCCTTGGAGAAAGTGAAGCCAGATTGCTCTTTGGAAGCAAGGATTGTGAAGCTTCATCTTGCATTTTTGGACATGTTGCTAAGAGAGGCTATTCCTTGGATAAGGACATCATGCTTGCAATTGTGGAGGGACAGTGAAAGAGAGGAAGACTCTAAATTTCTTGACACAAGATAGGACAGGGTTCAGATCTATTATTTATAGTGTTTCTAGGAGCCATACTCAACTCAATGGCATCTAATAATAATAACAATAGTGATTTTACCTTTTACATTAAAATACAGAGCATACTTTATTCCTTTGTAACTGCCTATCTGCTGCTCAACAATTGCTGCCTTCTGTCCTTTTTAGAGATCCTTATCTTAAATTCTGGGTGAATAGCCTAGCATTTTAAAATGTAATTTTCCATATGAGTATATATCTTAGTTTCTTAGAGTTACTGTAACATAAATTTCACTAGTGGGTAGTTTTAAAAAGCAAGCATTTATTTTGTTACAGGTTTGTTTTTTTTTTTTTGCTGTTAGGTGCCACTGAGTATGACTTATAGTGACCCTGTGAACAATGGATCTGAACCTTGCCCTAGCCTGTGCCATCCTCACCATCTCTGATATCCTTGAACCCATTCAGTTACAGTCACTGTGTCAATCTGCTTCCCTAGGGACTTCCTCTTTTGCACTGGCCCTTCACCTTTCCAAAAATGATGTCCTTTGCAAGGACTGACCCCTCTTGAAC